CCTCATTTCCACAGAGGCTCTGTCCCCCTTTTTAAAATTAAAGGCCTTTAAACACCAAGCTACCACAAGGGACATCAGAAAGAAAAGGTCAAGCCCTTATATTGCACATAGAAAGAGTAAGAACAAGGCAAGCTGCTTTTAGGTTTTAAAATAATAACTTCCCTGCATGAGCCTTCCTGAAATGGTGAAGTCCTTTTCCTGCCAGCTGGAGCTGCCCCAGGGAACTTTATTCCTAACCAAACAGTGCCATTGTTCCAGGTTATAAACAGCCAATCCTTGCCACCAATCCCAGACCAATGTCTAATCTCAGGTGGCTTCTTTCTGGACACCCTTGCCTTCTATGACTATCTGCTGGGACAGCCCCACCATCATCCACTCTGTCTAAATATTTCTAAGGTATCTGTCACCGTCATCTCAAAGCACCAAAACACTGTGTGCTTTTCCAACAAGAGAGTGACTTTACCTTCTGAATCATCAAAAAGACAGCAAAGGGTGTTTGGGATAGTTTTCCTGTTTAATGTTGAAGCAGTGGTTGTCCTCCCGTTTCCATGAATCACATGTCTTTGGATAGTTCTGAAACCTCTGAAGCTTCGAAGCATCCGTAGCCACTGATGGAGATTCGGATGAATTGGGTGGGAAGAGTGGTGAGTCATGCTCACAGGGGAGGTGTGCAATCTAGACCAGACCAACTGTGCCTTTGAAGTGAAGGCCCAAGCCAATGGTTACAGAGTGTTAAGGAAAAAATGGTGAGAATCAAGGAAGTAAGTAGAATTCATGGCCTAAGCCCCTAGCAGCAACCACATTTTCTAGTACACAGCTTAATCTATGGTGTCTCAGTATACACAGGCCTTGTGGCATTGTGAAAGCAGATAAAGTTAGGGATCAAAGCAATGGTGCTTGGTCATTGACACCTTCTAAAAACTACTATGCAGTCATAAAAGCACGGTGTCTATTTTCTTTAACTTGGAAAATGAGGGGAATAATTGCTACTCTCCTATCCCATAAAAGCATTACAGGGAAGTACTGTGAGTTCATTTCAGTGTACAGAAACAATAGTGGTGGACACAGTGCTGCTGTCACTTCAGCTGACATTTATGTGGCCAGAAGGAGAGAGGTGATAGGAAGTATGCATGTATTCCTTCTCTTTATATTGGGGGACAGTGCCCAAGAAGCTCTGATCTCCCAGTGCTAAGCAGTGGACAACTGACCTAATTGGGCCAATTGTACTTTCTCTCTTAAGGCACATTTTGCATTTGGAAAATTTTAAATTTGTTTGCTTGGGAATTTTTGTTGTTGTTTTTGTTTTTTCTCTCTCTCCCAAGGGAGCCCTAAAGACACTTTTCAACAATTTCTGCAACATAAACCTAGGAGCTCTAGAGATCTCTGACAGTGCTGAGAATAGCTACTATGTTAACAACTGTTATTTTCTTCTAGGGAATTTTCAAAATGACTAAAGAAATACTCCAAGTCACTATCAAATCTAGATCCTAAAAAGCTGCAGGTGACCAGTTATATGTTTATGCATTCTCATGCTCATCAGCTATCCCTTTATCTGGGAGCCAGAGTCTTCAACACAGCAGAGCCAAACAAAAGAGAAACCTAGAACCACATGCTACCACTTAGAGGGGAACTGCTCATCTGACTACAACAAATGTAGAAATAAATTTTGGAGCAGAAAGTTGCTGCGGTTTGGGGGATGTTTGTGTAGAAGCTAATAAATTATTTCCCCAAAAGGTATATTCTTTAGCTCTCCTTTCAATTTTGATATCTTCCAAAGCATTCTTTTTTTTTCTTACATTCACTAGAACTAGTGCTTTCAACCATGATATCTATCTGACAGATCTATCACTAATAATTGCTTAAATACCCAGATGAAAATTGTGACCAATGAAGTTAAACCTATTATCTCACTCAAAACGGTAGCTGTCTCTTGTGTGGTATGAGGTATTCCGTAACATTTAGGAGGCACAAAGTAAGAACTAGCTGTAGATTCTGCCCTTTGTCATTTTAAAGCATGCTTATGGTAGAGTCCTCCTTAACAGGGCAGATGCAAGCATTACAAACATGGAGAGGCACTGGTCCTTGGCTCTGCAAAGCCTATCATTCAATGCTACTAAGGAACTCTCAGTTTTGTGAGGAATCAAAGAAAAGTACACATATAGTATCAATGTTACCACTCTTATGAGGTAAAACCAGAACACACCGCCAAAGAGTTCTATTCTTGGCCTCCTTCATTTTATAGCAGTATCTAGGGGTGATTCATCTACTTTCACGTGGCTCTGCCTGTCTGTTGGTCATGATTCTTAAACCCACTGTCTCCTGTCTTCACTTCCCTTTGATATCCAGACTTACATTTGCAATTGTCAGCAAGCAATTTGCCATGTGCAACTTTGGTTAACACTACTTACTTACATTACTTACTTAAAGAAACTGGGTCCAATCTCCTAATGAGACACAGACCCTGGAGCTCTGCTGGTATTCCATGGGCATCTTAAATTATATATGCCCAAAGCTAAACTCATCCCTCTGCTCCATACCTACATTTCCAACCGTATCCTCTTTCTTAGTTAATGGGATGGCTGGTTGCCCACCTAGTTAAATAATCCTTGTATCCTGTTTGACTCATCTCTCTCTCACTGCCCTCTCTACACATCCCCAAGACTGATTGTTTTGTCCTCAGAACAGTTGTTAGGGTGTCTCCATTTCCGATCCTGGTTCAGAAGCTCACACTTTTATTCTGTGCTTCGGCAGGTGGCAGTCTCCATACCCAACCCTGCATTGCTCTCCTACCTCTAATAAACCGCCTGCCAGGCATACACAGTATGTTTCCAATGCCTCTTGTACAAAACTTCACTTCAAATATTTGAAAACACATCCTTTGATCTTTAAGTCCTTTTTTGTTTGTTTGTATATTTGTTACTAGAATGAACTATCTAGCAATTCCTCACAGGAAATTCAATAACCATTAGTTTGTGATGTTGTAATTAGCAAACTGTGAACCCCAGAAATCATTGCAGGAGACTCCATTCTTTGATAGAGAACCCAAAAATCAGGTTGCTTTCCTGGTCTCACAGAAGTAAAGACTGTCAAACAAAATAGCCCACAGAATATAACAACCAAACAACTCTAATTTTTTTGAATGTGACAGTATTTTGAAATTCTTTATAGAGGGGTGTCAACAATACTCAGAATTTTTCATTTAGTACTTTAGTGCAGTCAAAAATGTTCATAGACTGAAATCAAGTCCTTTAAATGATTGATATAAGTAGTATTGCCCAAAATTGTCCATGGCAAAACTATGATGTTTTGGACATTTCTAATCAGTGTAGAGCAGAACAGGGCTATACACGTCCCTCGGGTGCATCGTACTAGAAGCCCTGACTTTATGCAGAGCTCTGATGCAGTGTTCCTCATTTCCATTCACAGTTCTTCTCAGAGCAATGCTAATTTCTGCTCCTCAGTCTCTCCTCCATCATTGGTGACCACTGTCATCCGAGCTTGAACCCAAGAAAGGCATCCTCAACCCATAGTTAGCTGAGATTTGATCCAGAGGGATGTCCACATCCTCAGATGGCAAAACTTTCCCTCCATTCATTTCCCCCCACATCTGGAACCAAATTATCTAGAGTGTTTTTTTTTTTTTTAACCTGGCCTCCTTTTCCTGCACACACAATTACTTCTCTGCAGATGGCTGCCTCACAATTATCTAACTGCAGGCTCCAACAAACTTCTTTCTGCAAACCTAGGTATTAGAATTCTGAGATTAGGCAAAAATTATCTCTTAGATTCTGTCTGATTTAAAAAGCCACAGCAGATCTCAAGTCTTACCTCATTATATTCTTGACATTATCAATAAGTCTTTCACTCCTTTAATTTCCATTTTCCTACAAGCCACAGCAGTTATAGTTTATGTGTTGACCTTAAGGATAATGTTTAAGTCAACACTCTGACAAGAAAGGCCAATATCACCTCAGTATCATTTGTAAAATGTAAGGCTAAGACATGGGAGCAATTGCTCTGTCAAAGTCATGGCAAAAATTAAAAGTTCTAAATCCAAAATACAACTTTATCCTTGGGTATTGAGTTTCTCACAGTGGGTAAAAATCAGTCTTAAACATCAGTTTCCTTTCAAACAAGGAACTCTTAGTGTCAGCTACCTTTTAGAGGCTACAAGAAAAACAACCTAATGTCTTCTGAAGCATGGCTTAAAGGGTACATCATCAATGATCGTCACCCCCCACAGCTGATATGGAGTTGTTTCTTGTTTTCTGTGTTGGTTTTATTTGGTTGTTTCATCTAACCAACATTTATAAAATACAAAAATATGCATTCCATTTTCAAGTACAGCATTTCCCACTAACATTCCTCCAATCCACAAGAGGGAAAGTAGCCAAAGTAAGGAGCCTCCAGGTATGAAGCAGTCAATATTAATAAGGATTAGAAGTATTTGCTTGAGCATAACTCAGATGCTTCCCCTTCCAGTTAAACCAGCACACATCTAAATGGTTCGTCTCATGGGATGTATTTTATTACTAGACTCTCCAGTTTACAGCCATCTTGTCTGGTGATTTTCTTAAGTAGAGACAATTGAGTGTGAAAAGACTCCTGGGGTCTTCGGAAATGCTTGCACACCAATGGGTTCTCATCTCTCTTTAGACTTTACAGTACTTCAAAGGCCTCTGGTATTTTCTTGAACAATTAATTACCACATAAAAAGACCAGAAAAGGATAAGGGAAATTAGGGTTAAAGGTGACAGTAGAAAAGTAAGGGGCACTGAGGAATTGAGAAACATTTCTGAAGATGCTCCAAAAAGAGTCATAGCCTTCCAGAAGCAAGACTCCATAAATACAGCTACTATCCATGAAGAGAATATCCTGCAACAGGCCTGTCTGTGCACAAAAGCTAAGACCATGTATGTAGTCTGCTAATATTTGCAGGGAGAAAAGGAACGTAATGCAAGCAGCCTAAGATGAAAACGTGGCCCCTGGTTTTCACTTACCCAACACCAGAAGTTCCACGGAGTCCTCATTTTTGCCTTCCAGGTCATCTGGGGTGGTGATGATGCAGTAATAGAGGCCACTGTCTCCCCACATGAGCTTTCCAATCTGAAGATCTGCATCTGTTATCACAAAGAGGAGGACCCACTCCTGAACAATGGGGCCTGGGACAGGAGTGCCCTTCTGAAACATCTACACAGTTCTGTTGCTTTGCCTAGATAGTGGTTGGGAAAATGTTCACTTTATTTCAAACAAAATAATACAAAGTAACATTCTTAGGGCAAGAGAATTAGAGTACAGCCACAGATAGATCTAGTTCTAGTCCACTTTCAGGAACAGTTGAGAGTTTTAAACCAGGCCTACAATGGCTCCTAAGAATCGGGAAATTTCCCAAATAATTTTGGTTCCTAAAAATAAACTGATTTCTTCAAATAATTTAATGATCAAATAGGTCATGAGACATGTGGCCTTTTCTTATCTAAAGCTTAAGGGAACTAGAGAGAGGGTGAAATTGATTCATCTACCTGGCTCTCTAGCTTATATTCACACACCCTTTTTCCAGAAAAAAATGAATTTTAGGGAAGTCCACTTTTCAGGTTCAGTAAAGGGCTAAAAGAACAATGTCCAGGTATAGAATGTCTCCCCTAAGTTCTTCCACTAAATAGTTCTGAAAAAGAAAAAAGAAGGAAAAAAACTATTTCAAATAGTATTTTCAAACTATTTCAAAAAAAAATGATTCAAATTGTTCTGAAAAAAAAAATCTCTGAGATTGGAGGTCAGGCTCTGAAAGGCTATTTGCACAGCTTATTTATGTGTTGCCTACATACAACACTGTCTACACTCCCAACTCAGCCATTCAAAACTATATGTCTGGGCTCATGATGCTCTCATCTCCCAGAAAATTAGATCCTGAAGGAACTGAAATGGAACTTCCCTTTCTGTCCGGGCTCTCGTACGCAGGTCAAGGGAAGGGGGGGAGCGGGCTTAGGAGGGGGAACGGGGACAGAACCTCCTTCCCACTCCCTAGATTCAGAGTAAGAGCACCAGTACCATGAACTATCGTGATCTCTCTGCCCCTGTAGAAGTCTCCCAAGGTAACAGTCGATCCCTGTTTGGAGGCTACCACTCGAACGGTCCTTCTGCTGTCTAAACAGTCCACGTAGGGGTCCCATTCCAGGTTCCTCTTGCTGAGGGCTTGGGCCCTGGGAGAGGACATGCCCAAGGATTCTCCCATACGATCCTGGCAGTAGGATTTGAATTTCCACTGAACCACGGCAGGCTGATGGGAAGATGTGGAGAAGTGGCATCTAAGCACAGTGGGCTGGAAGAGCATGGCCACCTTCTTCTTGTCAGGCACCGAGACCTGGAGGCCTTCCACCACGGCTGCAAAACAGAATGAACACATTCAAGCCACACGGATCCCTATCATGGGCCTCACCACACGATCGCATCATCCCTCCCTACACCTTTACTCTGCATTTACCTGGGCTCACAGTCCCAGGTTACAGCCTATCATGGTAAGGAAGGTAGAACAGCAAGAGCTTGAGGCAGCCAGTCATTGTATCCACAGTCCAGAAACAGCATTATGAATGTGTGCCCTTAGCTCGAGTTCTTTTTTATACAGTGCAGATTCCTAACTCAGGCAATGATGCACCCACACCCTAACCCAGATAACCCTCACAGGCATGTCCAGAGGCTGTATCCCATGTCATTCTAGGTCAGAGAGTTCAAAACTATCCCTAGTAAGTCATAAGAACTAAAAGTCTAAGACGTGGCTAGAGTAGGATGTTTGATCTTGGCCTTGGGTGTTATATCTCAATAACAACAGATTTGGTATGAAGTGTGGTTACTTTTGATCCTCAAGGCCAGATAACAAGACATTGACTCTAAGGTGTGGTTACTGAACCCTTGGACAACTGAGGAAGAAAGTCTGTTTGACTTGATACCATGCCCCCCCCCTTTTTTTTTTTTTGTTAAGGTATTAAGAATGGTGAAGAATAAACTCAGGGCATTCAGTATTCACTGAATTGCCCTGCTGACTCTATCCTGTGTCTCTGTCTTTCTCTTAACATCTTTACCTAGCCTTTCTCGATCCACACTCCCCCTCTCAGATACAAACCAGGGGCAAGTGGGCTGGTTCTGACAGTAGCCAGCTTTGTGAAAAGTTGAGTTCTACAGACATTCTAACACCCACCAGCTAGTTTCTTGCCTTCAGTTTCACCCCTTTGACCTAACTATTGGAGCACCAAGCCTCACAAACACCAAGCACCTTAATGTGAGCCATGCCATTCCACATCTCAGTCTTTGCACATGATAACCCTTGTTTCTGGGATGCTTTGCCTCACTCCCTTGCAAAGCTCATCTCAAAGTCCTCTGAGGATGCATTCTTTGACCAGTTTGTCCCTTCCTTCTTTGTATCATCGACATCTAATGTTCTTGTGTATACAGTTCTTGTGACAATGCTGTGAGTTTTTCTTTTCATGCCCTTTCAGGAAAGGACAGTATATTGTCTTGCCAACCTTGATTATGAAGCCCAGAGGTGCTGAACGAATATTTGATAAATAACAGTGAAATTGGGAAGTATGACTTCAAGAGAAGTTGACTTCCTTTCCAGACTATGACACAAGTGAAGGGAAGAAATAAAGGAGAAAAGAAGTCTTTTCTCAACAGGGGGAGCTCAGATCCAAAGCAGAAGGCTAGGATGAACAGCTTTGAAGAATAATCAACAGCAGAAAAGACACAAAAATCAGATGAGAAGAGATGCCAAAAGAACAGGGTAATCACAGTGAGAGGCCAAGGGAGTTTGAGAACAAAGAGCCTGTGAGAACTCATTAGTAATTGCTAGAAAATCTAAGCAATGAGAACACAACTTCCTAAGTGAATGGGAGAATCTAGAGTTTCCAGCCTAGAAACTTCTTTATTTTTTTTTTCTTTCTTAATTTTTCAAAATATCTTTTATTTATTTTTTTCTTATTTTACATATCAATCCCAGTTACTTCTCCCTCCCTCTCTCATCCTCTCCCTCCCATGTCCCCACCACCACCCTCCCATCCCATCCCCACCCCACGCCACAGGGAGGGTGGTGCGTTCCAGGAGGGGTCAACAAAATCTGTCATTTGGAGTAGGGAATAGGCCCTCCCTCCTGCCTCTAGGCTAAGGGAGTATCCCTCCATGGGAAATGTGCTTCCAAAGTCCTTTTGTGCACCAGGGATACATCCTGGTCCACTGTCCGAGGTCCCTTAGACTGCCCAGTCCTTCTAACTGAGACCCATGTTCAGGGGGTCTGAGTCAGTCCAATGCTGGATTCCCAGCTATCAGTCCGGGGACCCATTAGCTCCTCCTTGTTCAGGTCAGCTGTCTCTGTGGGTTTCTGTAGCCTGGTCTTGTCCTCCCTCTCTGCATCTGGATTCCAGTTCGGCTCAGTATTTAGCTGTAGGTGTCTCCTTCTGTTTCCATCAGCTACTAGTTGAGGGCTCCATGATGGTGGATAAGTTAGTCATCAATCTCATTATCAGGGAAGGGCCTTTCTACTATTGTTCAAACTGTTAATTGGGGGCCAGTCTTGTAGGTCTCTGGACATTTTAGAAGAAAAAGGAAGGAAGGAAGGAAGGAAGGAAGGAAGGAAGGAAGGAAGGAAGGAAGGAAGGGATTGTGATGAGAAACAGAAAACACAAATATAAAGATATGTGGAAGAGGTTCTGAGCTGAATACAAGAATTGCCAAGTTGACTTCCAGTACCTTTCCTCCCTTGTTTTGGTTTTGGTTTTTTGAGACAGGATTTCTCTGTGTAGCCCTGGTTACCCGGAACTCTCTCTGTAGACCAGGCTGGCCTCATACTCAGAGATCCATATGCCTCTGCCTCTTAAGTGTTGTGATTAAAAGCATGTTCCACCATATGGGCCCAACAAGGGGAAGAAGGTTTTGTCCAAGAACTGCAGCTTAGATTTGAGACAGGTGAGGAAGGGTACCTTTCCTTTGAGAACCTTCTCCTCTGTGACTATGGTACAGAGCACTCACCCCACAGCTCAAACACACTTCTTAGGAACATGCCTCCTTAGCAAAGCAGCCTTGACAAGGATAAGATATACTCATGTCTCCCACTTTCCAGACATGTGTTCCCTCCCCAATGAAAGGCACAGTGGGAAGCATGGACCCTAATTCTCCTTATGAGAAAATGATTTCTCCATTCCATGAAACTTGGTAGTAAACACAAGAGAGTGTTTTGGACCAGCATGTTCTTGCAGGCTACCCATGAATAAATGAAGGAATGGATGAGCAAATATATGACTATTAGTATGAGAATTTAGAGGGCTTTGCAGAGGAAAGTAGTGAGTCATAGATCGCATAGTATTTTAAAATAGTATTGGCACCAAACAGGAAGGGCTTGGAATATAATCTGGCAACATACTAGTGGCAAGGCCTTAAAAGCTGTGTAGCAATCTGAGACACATTTTCCTCACCTACCCAGGAAATGTCATAATGCTTCCATACAGGGACACAACACAAACATGATATCTCATTGGGCACCTTCAAGGAGCAGACTTAATAGAGGTTTGCTGACAGGTAGATCTCACATGACAATGTCCCCTCACCATCTTCACCTTTGTCCTCACTTCCTGTTCTGATGCTATCACATCTCAAGGACCATCTCCTACCACCATGTTTGATCATACCCATATTATGTAGATCAGTCCCATCCAGGGGCAAGTAACAATTCCATCTGGAAGCTCAGTTGATGTAGCTAATTCCACTCTCCCTGATTCATATGGCTGCAATGGCAACATACATTACTTTACTCCTTAAATTATACAGCACCAATCTTTGGCCCTGTAGTACTTCCAATCTTTATTCATATCCCAGTTTTCCAGGAGACATAAATGGAACAGAGAGGTGACATGGACTCAATTAATAATAGCTGTGTTGGGATGAGACACAGGCACTATTGCCAGGACACACCATGCACTTGACCTTGCCAGTTCTCTGCTCTAGGCCCTGCTGAGACTCTACTTGGGAAAATCACAGTTCCCGGCCTCTCCAGGGTAAATAAAACCAGGAGGAAGAGTGCAGAATAAAAGCATTGTTTGTTGAGGTTTTAAATGTTTCTCTCTCTCTCTCTCATTTTTTTTGTTTGTTTTTTGTTAAAGAAGAGTCAAGTTTGGGGTTTTGTTCATTAGATGATTGCTGAGAATAACATCCTCAGCAACTCTGCTCTCTGTTAATGAGATTAGTCACTTGAGCAAGCCAAGCCATTGAACTCTCTTAATCAATTATTAATAGAGGTTAGTCAGCTCTCAGCTTCTTCTGTGATAGACACACAAACTCATGCTCTGAAGACTCAGAAATGCATTCTCAGAGACATTTGCCTTGTAGCAGCATGGTGGTTAAAGGCCTGGATTTGGGAATCAGTTCTAAATTAGAATCCAGCTACATAGTCTTAGGCAAGGTACTCAACTCATGTGCTTCAGATTTCTCATGAGTAAAAGCATTACAATAGTTAACAGTTTTATAGGGTTGTTTAAAGGTTAAATGACATTTTATCCTAAATACTGATGGTAACAGGTGAAATACATTAAGCACTGAAGATAAGCAACTGCTGCTGGTGGTGCTAGATTATTGAGAAGTATCTGTTGGCTTCTGTGGAGCTGAGGTCCCCAAGCTAGGTAAATGCAGACAGCCATGTATAAGATGCTGAGTGTGAACAGAGCAGAATGAGCAGAAAATGCATAAGCGTGCTGGAATATACCATTCAGAGCTCCATGGTGATAGTGTCTGGCTATGCTCATCACTTCACTAGTACATGTCCTTGAAGTCAGAATTGATAGTGGAGAGAGAGACAGAGACAGAGAGACAGAGACAGAGAGACAGAGACAGAGAACAGAGCTGAGCTGTTTGAGAGGACAGAATCAGGAGTTCTGACAGTCAGTTTACTAGACTTTTGAGGACCACAAGTGTTAAGATTGAAAGCTAAAAATGATAATCCCTATCTCCACTTTGTAGGTTTCCTATGATAAGAACCATTAAACTCTCCACATTTTTTTCTAGAGCAATCTTTTTTAAACACATCATCATCCATATCAGTTTCATTACCAAACATTTTGGTTTCTTGCTTTAAAGACTATTCATTCCTCCTTCTCTCCAGGATAAAAATCCCCAAGTCCCAATGCCTTGGTATGATATAAGATCTTATTCCCAGGTCTCAAGAGATGGCTCAACAGTCAAAAGCACTTGCTGCTCTTGCAAAGGACCTGAGTTCAGTTCCCAACACCTACCTTGGGCAGCTCACAACCACCTATAGATACAGCTCCAGGGGATCCAATGCTCTTTTATGGCCTTTAGAGGCACCCATGGCAGACACACACACACGCACACGCGCGTGCGCGCAC